GCTGTGAGGCAACAGGGTTAACAACATGCATTATTATTAACTTCATATTTAACTCAATCATTATTCACATCTGTGTAATTTTGTCAATTATCTCAGCTTTTACTAAATGCCCTGTGTTGTTTATTGCTCTTAATTTACATCTTAATCTTTTTTATTTAAATCCATGTTAATTTAACTCCGCATACAGACAGGTGACAAACTCAAGAGGAAAACAATACAGCAACATCATAAAAGGGGGCATTCACAGGTTCCCTGTGAATCTGTGTGTTGGTTCTCCAAATCTCCAAAGAGATGAACACCATTTTTAGATATTTCCTCATCTGACGTTTTGATGAAGCCGGAGAAGAACAATGTCTAACGCATTTGTTCAAAATCTCCGATGGTTGTATGTACACATTTATACATATGTATAAAATCCAGGTCACTTTTATACTCATGGAACTCCTCAGTGACCCGTGCACTGTGACAAATGGCAGTGTCACAGAAGAGGTCTTTCTTAACAAAGTAGAAACATTTCACGATAGATCTGAATGCACGCACCATTCACACCGACAGAGCTACCAGAGCCCTCTCTGCTGGTCTATCGTTCAGGTTTTTCCTTTAATCTGACACATGAAGACCTCTTTCACGATGCCAACCATCTTAATGGCAGCTGCTTTAAAAGTTTTTAGATATAACCAGCACTTTTCTATAAACTCTTTTCTATATTTCAGAGTAAAATAAAACTGGAACAACAGAGTGAGGCTGGGGTAGATTAAAAAGCGGCTGTCCGCCTAAATATTAGCTGTCCGGCTAACATTGCTACTAAACTTCCCACTGAGGCAGAGAAACCGATAAAAATGTAGACTTCGTCACCGAACAGACTTAAAAGCTGTTATTTTATCCGTCTGAGATTTATCGACCGTTAATTTATCAGAACCGGGTTAGCTAATTGTCATGTAGCTGGCTAGCTGGTAAGCAGTAACGTCACCAAACTCCAACACTATTTTAAACACAAAAACTCATCTTTAGTTACTTTACACGGAAATCTGCGACAGAAATCCGACGCGACTGTCTGACAATCGAGACAAAGGCTCCGAAAATATTGACTGAACAACAAATTGTCTCACCAGCTGCCCCGAAGAGCTTCCTCCACGGCATCCGCCATTGTTGTGTTGACGGAGACACGTCAGATGTCGTCAACACGCGCGTTATGCGCGGTGACGTCACCGAACAACGAGGGGTCGAGATTGACAAGTGAAATCAAAGTGTGATAAGAAACTGATGAGAAAACTACTTGTTTGCTTTGATTTTGGGCGCTAAAAGTTAATAATTGATCAACAAACAGAGAAAAACAGAAAACACCATCAACATGTGCTGACCTCAGAGTTTAATCCCAACAACCTTCCTGTGTGATGAAGAAACAATTTACACACAGTGACACGATCCTAAACGTGGGTCAAAGTTTGTGTTTGTGTGAGAAAGTGTGGGACACATCACTAAAGTCAGGAGTCAGAAATTCTTTATATCTCACTTAAAACATAAACATATGCAATCGATGCAAATAGGTTGTACATTTGGCTCTGATGACAGTTATTTTTATTTGAATGTAAATTTTCCTAACTTCAGATAATCATAAATGGAAACTTAAGTTTGTTTTTTAGATTTTGTGTGGTAGTCTTTGCATATACATTATAGTTGTAAGTATTGTTATAAATGTAAACATGTTTTTTAAATAGTTTTCCTTGTGTGCACCACAACAGCTGATTTTAAATTGAACAATCAAGACTTGTTTGAAATGTTTGTAAATTAAAGCCATTGCCAGAGGATTAGCAGTAATTGTACAGTCGACTTTGGTTCTGTTTCATGGAAAAGTGAGGCCTGTTCTCTTGTTATTCTATAACAAATAACAAAGCAAATAAAACCTATTTTCAAGACAAAATTACAAAAATTGTGTCATGCCCAAATACATATAGACCAGACGACATGAATATTTCTTTTTTCTAATGAACTAATAGTTAAATATTATTTATTCTGCTGCCCATCTTTTCATTTTAGTAGCAATGCATTCACAGATATATATTTTTTCTTGCCAGCATCTGCAACACCTGGATCCAGATCCTTGGCAAACTGTCAAAGTTGCTGTTTACACAATAAAGAAATATAGAAAATTTAATACAGAGTTTGTAACATAAGTCAGTATTAAACTACTTCACTGTTATATCCTTACCTCCCAAACAGCTGTTCCTAAAATATTTCTGCACATAATTACTGGTATACTTAAATACATATTAGAGAGCAAACACCATCACACATTTTGACTCGAATAATAACAGAAAGTTGCTCTTAATGAAATGTTAAATTGTATTTCTTATCTGGGGAAATATCACAGTGATGTTTTTTATCAATCCAATGTAATATCAGTAGGATGTCCTGATGTCCAGGAGCTGCTGTCAGTGGTCAGACATCCAAATATTTTAGGGGTTTCAACTTCGTCATGGAGCAGCAGTCCCAAGAGTCCACATTCATATTTATGGTGCCAGAGCTTTACCCTAAAGCATCTGAAAGGTCACGCTTAAGTGTTTTAATAGATTAGCAATTTTAAAATGGCCCCTCAGAAAAAGATCTAAAAACAGTCCTGTCTTCATAAAATCCCTCACAGGAAAGTTTGCACAATTCCTATTAAACAAATCTGGGAAGGTCAGCTGTGAGGCCTTTTAGGAAGTACTATGAAATGACTCTATAGTCTGTTCAATAGACATATCTTTAATACTTATGTGTGCTACTTAGCAAGAAAATCAGAAAAACTGTAAAATTCTATCAAAGTTTCAGATAATCAGAACGAAATTTAGTTTCTAACTACAGGGGTTTAAAAACAATGTGCTGCACAATCCGGGTGAACAGAAACGATCAGATGTAAAACTCATTCCAAGAATTATAACTTTATTAGGACTCATTCTTTCACTTTGGTCACCACACGTATGGTAGATGCAGAATGTCAGTGATATCAAACAGCCAAAATCTAGTTCACATCCATGTTCTGAAGGTTAAGTAAATATGGTTTTAGTTGGAGTCCGTCTCACCAGCTGCAGCTCAAAATGCATGATTTGGTTCCTTGGCATCACCACACATGCAGTGATAGTTTACTGGGGGTGAGACTAATGAATGTCACAGAGAACGGGAGCTTTTTGTTGCTTTTTTTTTTTT